ATTAACAGTTACTGCGGCATCATTCACTTTTTAGCCAAACGTTGAATGAGAATATCAACATCCCGCTCAGGTTTGAGTGAAGAGGCAATATTCTAAACCAGAAAATCACCACTTGTATTTCAAATGCTTATCCTATATTACCTTAAATTCTGTTAAAAAGCGGCATTTTCCTCCCACGCCTCCAAGTGAACAGAGAATCAGAAACTGGTTAGAAAGTCCTGATGAAAGTAATGTGAAGCCACATTTAAGAACAGCAAAACTACACCAAAACATCTATTTAAAACTCCCCAACAACTCACGTAGTTTGTTCCAATACTGATTTATCCAGTCGCATTATTGCTACGTCCTAAAATCTCGTCATTTAAAAGACGCACCTGTCGACAAAAGGATTAAACTATTCAGGAAAGTGTTTTTATCTGCTTGTCTTACAAAAAAAAAACATGAACAAGGAGAGCAATGACATTCTTTTTATCGGCTACACATGTTATTTAAAACTAGTTTCTCCTGCAGCGCAGGTCAGCGCGCCAGCTTTCAATCTGCCTTTTGGAGCAGATTGTAGCAGCAGCCGGTGTTCCTGCATGGCGGGAAGAATGGACGTCCAGGCATCGAGCTAAATGCTAATGTCTGGACGCAGCATGTAAACCACGTTCATCGTCTCATTTGAGCGCATTCGATTTTCAAAAATTGTGATTTGGCACTAGAATAAATGATGAACCATGAAAATGTGTGCGCTGGAGGAGCGGGTCGTCGGGAGCGAGGGAAGAGCCGCGAACACATTGTGCAACAGCCAGAATGAGCTGCATTGTGTGCAACAAACCGCGTAGTCATCACTGATTAGGCCTCACTGGTTTATTACGTTGCTTAATTTACGTAATACCAACGTTAGCTAGCGAAGATTGCCAAAGCATAAAGCATCAATCGTATGCGTATCGCAGACCCTTCCATCTAAAATTGTTGTTGTTTTTCTCAATAGTGAGGCGCAGGTACTTAACGTAGCTTTAAGGAATATTAGCAGGGCGAATGCTTATTGGAAGGACAATTCTTTGAGTCCTTAAGTGACCGATAGAGGCTGTTGAAATATGCCATTTATCTTTACTGTATGTAGATTGCATTATCACAGAAGGGGGGAGAGTGAGCGCGTTGTGCGTTAATGGTCTCTCGGCCGGAGTTGTTAGCTCTCTTTCTGTCACTGGGATGAATTGATTATTGCTGGTTGAACCCACTCACCCCGTGATCAAAGTCTGAGAGGTGACAATACAGTACAGCCAATCATTAACCCAAAGTCCCCCCCCCCCCATCACTACCCTGAGAAAACACAATTTTTGATTTCCCAGTTGGTTTTTTATCATACACAGACACCCACACACATCCCACACCCTTAGTCCATGTAACACGGCATCAGATCATAAAGTATTGGTGTCGTCAGTCCACCTGTAGCAGGTTTCCAGGTTCATGATTCGGGAATTCCCCCCCCCCGTTAGAAAAATGAATACTCGACACCGGTGTAAAATAAAACAGGACATTTGATGTTTGCAGACAGGAGACAGAGTTGACACACATATAAGTCATGCACTAAGCCTATTCAAAGGTTTTCTCTTCCAGGCCCGACATATATACGGTATATAAGGTATAATAAACAGGAAGGTTTTGCACACGCACGATGACCTCATTGTACAAGCATCGTCCTGTTCTTTATCCTGAGACATACATCTGATCCTCCCGAGACACCGAGCGGCCTTCTGGACACCGGACACTCAACTTATCTGAGCGGACATGTCATACTCCCAATTTATTCTACAAACGATACAGACATAGTCTCGTTTTGTCTAAAACCAGAACAAATGTTGATTAGTGAGCTTTAAAGGTTTCTATCTTAGTTACATAAAGGCTTTGAGGACTGATCATCATCGTCGTCGTGGTCACAACCACAGAGCTGGTCCACATTCCAGCCCTACTAATCCCTCCCAGAGATGGACAAGTCTTTCGTGAGTACAAACTTGCCATGTGGTCAGATTAAAGGTGTCTGAGAGGACGATCCTGCGGCTAAAAGGAGATTCTCTGTTTTTTTTCCCCTCGATGCGGCCGAGGTTTTGGTCATCAAGTATTATTTAAGTAAGTATGTATTATAATGTCAACCTCCTGTTGGTGCTTGGTGAAAATGTGTTGCGTCAAACCAAAGTCAGGAGGATTGATCCTCTGGGGAACATGAATGTCTGTACCAAAGTAGCTATTAAACAGTTGGAACATTTCCGTCTGGACCAAAAACTGTCTGAGAGTCCAACGACATAATCAGTAGAACCAAAAAGCAAACAAATAGAAAGGAACCAACAGAATGGTACCGTTGCTATAGAGCTTTAAAATACTGCACACTGAATAAAGAAAATAAAAGCGCTGTTGAGAACATGCAGAAAAAGAAGGTGAAATGAGCTGTAGACGTCTTACTCATTTTAATCCGATAAAGTAATCGTCACATCCTAGAGACACGCGCCCGGAACTGGACTCAGCAACATCATTTATTCTGTATGGGTTGGTTAAAAGGTTGGAGTTTGGCTTTTGGGCCACGAGACAGTTTCAGTTCACTATTTCTGTGTTTGTTTGGCTGAGAGAAAAACTTGAGCTAGACTGGTTTCAGACCACTAAAGCTCAGTGTCACATGGCAAGATATAACAAGCGAAAAAGGCAAACAAAAACATATTCCAGCAAGTGCTGTTATAAAGATGTCATAAAGTTTATCAGGCCTCAGGGGAAATGTTAAGGCGCGAGTGCAGCTCCTGGGTGAATTTCCCGTAGCAGCAGTGAAATCACAGACTGGTCGCAATGTGACACAATGTGCTTTCTTCTTCTCTTGAACAAAGCTTAGGAGTCGCTGATTGCAGCTTCAACACCTACTGTCCCCCATCAGATGTAATCCCTTTTTATCTTGACAGGACAGAAGTCAAACGGGGACTCTTTCCAATATGTATCCCAAATTTTGAATCTGATGCACTGCTTTTCTTTTCTTTTCGTATTTAAAACCCAAAAGAATTGTCAACAAGCAACTCGTAGTCTCCTTAATGATCATGTTACCCAGGTGGGTTTTAAAAAAGCCCCCCCCCCCCCCTCCCCCACACCGCTTTTTCTTTTTTTAAATGTATGCTTGTTTTGGTGACTACAACAAATCAGTGACACGTGACCGGGCACATGCAGGCACCTCTTTTGTGGTTTTGTTTGTACAAACGCTGTGTTGGCAAAGGTGAATCCATTTAGCAGCGGAGTGACCTTTCACCCTCAAGTCCAGTGTTCACCCCCACAACCCCAACCCCCCCCCCCCCCCCCCATTCAACCAAAAAATAAGTTGCCCAAACACTTCATCCATGAAGTAAGAGTAAGGATATCTATCTGAAAGAGGCTTTTCGAAAGTAACTTTGTACTTTCGCTTTTGCCAATGTGAATATAAAAAGAACATAAGACTAAGTATTTTACTTCAGTGAAACAGCTGAATGCTAAACTTTAATGTCCAAGCCTAGACCTTCTATTAGTTAAAAGATCGTCGAGTGGCCGCAGTTCACCTTCTCTTACTTGTAACATGCAGTTACTATCTGTACCCTGTGGATGGAGGTGATGTCCTCTGTCACACCATGCACATGACGGTACGTGTTTCATGGGCCGCCAATGTCATAGTGTAGGATGATAAAAGGGGAGCAAATAATAAAGACAATAAAAATTGTGTGCCTCTAAAATACTACCAACTTATATCCGAAGCATATTGTAAAATCTCAGAGTTTAATATGCCACAAAAAAGAAAATCCATTCGCAAACTAAAGACACCCCTTTTTCAGACGAAACCTTGTATAAAAAGTCGTAT